CTAATGGGCAAAAAAGTTGACATGCATAATTCTTCTTAAAGATAATTAGATATGTCAAGGAATATTTAATTTGGGCGTATTTTTTCTTTAATAATGATCTAGGCATTGTTGATGAATTCCTTAACATCTGTGTTTACTGATCATTGTGACTTAATTAAAAGGTTACAGTTATAGCATGGAAGATTAAAAAAATAGGACCTTTTTGAGGATGCGATGTGTTTTATTATGAAGTTTTTCTTTTTTATAAATTTATTTTTGGCTGCATTGGGTCTTCGTTGCTGTGCGTGGGCTTTCACTAGTCGCGGTGAGCGGGGGCTACTCTTCGTTGCGGTGCGCGGGCTTCTCATTGTGGTGGCTTCTCTTGTTGTGGGGCATGGGCTCTAGGTGCCCGGCCTTCAGTAGTTGTGGCACGTGGGCTCAGTAGTTGTGGCTCACGGGCTCTAGAGCGCAGGCTCCTTAGCTGTGGCTCACGGGCTTAGTTGCTCTGCGGCACGTGGGATCTTCCCAGACCAGGGCTTGAAACCGTGTCCCCTGCATTGGCAGGCGGATTCTTAACCACTGCACCTCTTATTAATGAATTAGAAATGTCCTTCTTATTCCTGACAGAGAAGAAAATACATAAAGTTAGTTACTTTATATACTAGAATTTTCTTCACTCTTGATGGAAATGCATACTGTTCTGAGTTATAAACACATAGAATTTCAACTAATATATTGTTCAAAAGCATTGTATGAAGAAAAAGTTAAGGCTTATGTGATTTCCCTTTCCCCCCCTTTTCTGTACCCACTTAAAACCATCAAGATTTACTTGGCGCTCTATAGTGGCATTGCCCAATATAAATATAATGTGAGCACCATACTGAATTTTAAAGTATTTTGCAGGTATATTTAATTAGTAGAGTTAGTTTTAGAAATATTGATAAATTTTACTTAAATATGTCTAGAATTTTTCAAAATCATGTTATGCATATAACAATAGATTTTTTACGTTCTTTTAAAATACTAAGTCTTTAAAATCCTGTGCATATTTTTTATTTACAGTACAAGGCAGTTTGGAGTGACCACTTTTCACATACATGGTCAGAATGGGATGTTACCATGTTATGTGAATTAATTCTGTAATAACATGTCTGTTATAGTTTGTTATTTTATCCTTATTTGTCATCTAAAATAAGAGGCAGGTACATGGTCAGCAAGCTTTCAAAAATGGTGTGCAAATTCTGAAGTGGTGATGTTTGTATAGTTACGTAGACATTCGTGACCACATGACTGTTTGAGAAAATTGGAGTCAAAAGGTTGGTAACTGTGAGCTACTAGCGCTTAGGGGTTTTTGTTAGGGCACACAGATTTCTTGAAGGAGTGTGTGTTGAGGGTTCCTAAGATACTCTCATGCTTGATAATTTGCTAAAAGGGCACAGAAATCAGAGAAAAGCTGTGAAACTCATGATTGTTTTATTACAGTGAAAAGATAACATTAAAATCAGCAAAGGGGAAAGGGTATATAGGGTGGAGTCCAAGAGAAACCAGGTGTGAGTTTCCAGTTATCCTCTCCTAGTGGAGTTGCATGACAGTGCTCCATTCCTCCAGTTGTCCTGTATGACAGCATGGCAAAGTGGTGCCAGCCAGGGAAGCTTACCTGAATCTTCGTGTCCAGAGGTTTTTTTAGGGGTCAATTACATAGGCATGGAAGTACCTACATGACTGTCTTTAGTTACTTAGTCTCTAGTTTCCCTTATTCCTCCTCCCCCCTGAGGTCAGGCTGATAAATGGTGTGGCCCAAAGGCCCAGGCATACAGAGATAGGGATTTACCATAATTCACATTGTTAATATAAATTACCTGGTGTGGCCCAAGATTTTAGGTGTACAAAGAAATTAATCAGGCAGGATATTGCAAGGGGTCAGAGGTTATCTTCTAGGAGCTTGTCTTAGGTGATTCCTTTCTTTGGAATATGCAGAGTTTAACCCCCCAAGCTTGCAGAGTTACCCCTTAACTGCACAGGATGATTCTGGATACAAAGGAGGGTGTCTCTAGTATCAATTCTTAGAGAAACAAAAGGGTAGATGAAGATTGGTGATAGCTCAATTCACCTTAAATATCTAATATGTTTTAAGCAAATGGCATGGATTACTGACTGTCAAGGTAGAGCTATATAAAGGCTGACTTTGAGAAGTAAAGAATCTAGCATTTAGGACAGCCATATAGTTACAGGTTTCTTAGTTGGAAACAACTCTTAAAGTTTACTGACTGCCTCCTATAAATTCACCTTGTTTGCTAAAGTATATGTTATCTCCTTTAATCCACATCTGAATGTCCATTTCTGCCTGTGATGGGAGGAACTTGTATCAGACTAAGGCTCCCTATGAGACTAGGGAAAAAATATAGTTTGAAGGCATCGTAGAGCTTTTGAGTCAGTCAAGACTTCAGGAGTAAAGATTCAGGAGAGAAGAGAAATAGACGTATTCTGTGGGTTTCCTCTAGAGATATTTTCTAACTCTTAAGCTCTTTTGGATAAGAGGATAAAAGTTGAGCAGTGTATGAGAGGTGAGCAAAAAGCAACTGAGGGAGTTGAGTGGAGCTTTCAATAGTTTCTGTTGTTGTTTTAGTCCTAGGTTTGCAGTTTGAATCTTTTGAAAGGCCACACCATAGGAGTGGGAACAAACAAAAGTAGGCCAGACTTTACAGTATCTGAAACTCAGTCTCAAGCCAACTCTGTTCCTGATTGGACTGAGGTAATCTCTTACTCTGACTGCTTGTTAGAAAAAAATTAAATCCTTTCTGGAAGAAGATAATAACATCATCCAGAGCTTCTACATTTTTTCTTCCATATTTTCATACAGTCATTCACATACAATGTGTAGTATTCAGTAAAAAAATCACTATGCATTCAACAGGACCAACAGAGAAAAACCAGCATAGAAACAGGTTATGCATGTTATTCATAGGTTGTGTAATTCTGCAGTTATAGACAAGAACTTTAAAATACTATAACCTAGTCATGAAAATAGATGGCAAGGTGAAGAATTGCAGCAGAGAACTTGAATCTATAGAAAGGGATCAAATAGGAATTCTAGGATTGAAAATACAATAACTAAAATTTAGAACCCAGTAGATCAGTTTAACTGCGGTTTAGGCACAGCTGAAAAGAGGTCAGCTGGAAGGTTAGTTAGTAGAAAATATTCAGCAACATTGATTTGTCTTTAAGTATGTAAAACAGAGTTGGTAAAACATAGTATTATCACTTATAAACTTGTATTCAGTACCCTACCCCGAGACTTTGAGCAAACAAAAATTATTCATTAAAAATATCTTATGTAGAGTTCACTTGTTCAGCACACTCAGCTACTTGGAATAGAGCCCTAGGATGAGAAAATAAGCAAAATACTTACAGATTCAAGATAGATATCCAGAGCTGGATGGTAAAACAGGTATTTTAGCATAGGGGAGTTAGAAGCAGCTCTTAGTTGGGGTAATGGTTACAGTACACTTGGTAATCTGGTAAACTAGCTCACCACAATTAAGACTGTAAATTAGAAAAGAAGTTACAGGTAAATAATTGAGGAATTGGTTTTGGCAGCAAATACCTTGTTTGATCATATCCAAGACTCCACTATGAATTATACCATTAGTGTATGTACTACTAGGAAAAAAGAAAGCTGTCAATTATAATTGACATCCCATTACAGTAAGTCCCCTACATACAAACCTTCAAGTTGTGAACTTTCAGAGATGTGATATGTGTTCCATCAACATCAGGCGTGAGTGAAATTGCAGCTTGCCCTCCATCTCCTATTGCAGATGATCCTTCAGCTCTGCCAGTTCCCACCTCCTCTCCCTCCTCCAGTCAGTAACTCTTCTTGCCTGTTCACTCGATGCCAGCCCCTGTATGCCAACTGTTGTACTGTACTACTGTACTTTTCAAGGTAGTGTACTGTAAGATTAAAAATGTTTTCTTTATTTTTTGTGTTTGTTTTTATGTACTATTTGTGTGAAAAGTATTATAAACCTATTACAGTACAGTACTGTACTGCGTGTGTTAGTTGAGTACCTAGGCTAACTTTGTTGGACTTATGAACAAATTGGACTTATGAACACGCTCTTGGAATGGAACTCATTCGTATGTAGGGGACTTAACTGTAATTGTGATACATCCTGATTTCAGAGATGTTAAAATGTGGGGGAAAAGGTAAATGGTAATCTTAGTTTTAAATCTCAGTTCTATCCATAATTGTTTGTTTGCCTTCTGTCAGGGAACTTCTTTGAGCCTATTTGCTTATTTGTGAAAATGGGATAGTATAGTATGCTCTTTAGAATTAGGAAGACTAAATGAATTCAGAGACATGAGAGTGTCTAGTATGGAGTAGGCATTTGAAACCTGTTAATTTGGCTTTTATTTTTTCCTTCTAAAATTTGGCATTGTTAAAATAATAGGAGGAGACTCCTGACAGCTGACCAGGGTGGGGGGAAGAACAAACCCCCAATATATTGGCTAAATAAGAAGTTAAAAAAGAAAATTTCTGTTGGAGCTGTTTAATAAATTGTCAAGCATCATTCTTTATTCTCCCTACCCCACCTCTTTCACCTGTCTTATCCCCTCAGTTATATTTAAAGGTATCACTGACTGGTTCCAATATGATGATTGATATTTATAATAATGGAACCTACACATCAAAATAATGATATATTTTCACTAAATTGGTTTTTACAAAGCTCATTTTAGGAAGATTTGTAATCCTTCTAAGTTTAGTTGTGATGCTTAAAATCTCAGTCTTTAGTTTTGTAGAATTCTTGCTCTTCTGATGATGCGATATGAGTATGGCATTAATTCAAGTGAGTGGATCTTTTTAAGGAAGGGTTGGATTTTGTGATGTTTGATGGATGTGAGAATTCCTCATTTTATTCTTATTTTGAAGATTCCCAGTAAACCGAGAACAGCATTTTTCTGGAGCTGTAAGATATTCATAGCTTTAATCTTATGTTCATTCTGTTCTCTTCTTTCAGGATTTTTCAAGTCACATTCAGTTGATAGGATGAAAAAATTTAAGAGAAGGCTATCCCTCACGCTTCGAGGAAGCCAGACTATTGATGAATCGTTGTCTGAATTGGCTGAACAAATGACTATTGAAGAAAACAGCAGCAAAGATAATGGTAAATATTGAGGGGGTAGGGAAGGGGAGGAGAGAATTGAATTACATGATAAATCGAATGTAAATTTACTTTCCTGATTAGTCCTTAGTAGGTTCCTTCTGTTTATTTCTCTGCCTCCTTCCCTAGTTCAATAACTTTGGCTTGCTTACTGGAATGTTCCATTCTTACTCCAACAGTGTTACTATAGCTGGTCTCTAACCCTGATGAATTCTCTATCCTGTTTATCTTTCCATTTTTCATTAGTTCTTAAATAAGAATACTTTGTATAATATTATCCTAGTTAAGTAGCTATTTTAAAATTAACATTTAAATATTCTTGTTTTCTTATAACCAAAGTTTATACAGCTTAAAAGTGCATAGTAAGTTTGTGAAATTCCTGGGAATTCCCTGTTGGTCCAGTGGTTAAGACTCTGTGCTTTCACTGCCGAGGGCCTGGGTTCAATCACTGGTCAGGGAATTAAGGTCCCACAAGCCATGCGGCGTGGCCCCCCAAAAAAAAAGTTTGTGAAATTCCTGTTTTAAATTTCATCAGTTTTATAACATTATATATGCATATATTGACTGTCCACATAGACGACAAGGTTTATCATATGAGTGAATCATACCATTTTTTTACTTTATATTGACCAAAGAATCTATCCATAGTATTGAAAGCAGTTAATAGTAGATAGGCATATAATGTTTCACAAGTTTGACAGTTCTTTTTACAGTGTAAAGTAGTTAGTACACAGATGTTGATATAAAATAAAAAGTTTGTTAAATTGAATGGATTAAAATGCAAAATCCTGATGAAATCTGTAGAACAAGCCTACATATTCAAAACTGAAATAGCCCTAGAGATGTCATAGTAATAACCAGGAAGGAGCTTACAGGAATGGCTGCCAGTGTGTCATAATGTGCAGATTCTCTTCCTTGCCTCTGCCTGAAGTTCTTCTGTTTAGAGGTTTGTGGCAGTTGGTGAAAACATGAATATCCTCACCCCCTCTGGATGAAATGTAACTGTCCTTGTGAGAGAGGGAAAGGTATAATGGAAAGTGCTCTGGACTTTAAAAGTCATGGATTGGGACTTCCCTGGTGGCGCAGTGGTTAAGAATCCGCCTGCCAATGCAGGGGACATGGGTTCAAACCTTGGTCCGGGAAGATCCCACATGCCGCGGAGCAACTATGCCCATGTGCCACAACTACTGAGACTGTGCTCTGGAGCCTGTGAGCCACAACTACTGAGCCCGCATGCCACAACTATTGAAGCTCACGCACCTAGAGCCCATGTTCCACAGCAAGAGAAGCCACCGTAATGAGAAGCCTGCGTACAGCAATGAAGAGCAGACCCCGCTCACCGCAACTAGAGAAAGCCCGTGTGCAGCAACAAAGACCCAACGCAGCCAAAAATAAAATAAATAAATAAATTTATTTTTTAAAAAAGTCATGGATTGGAATTTGGGATACACTTACACACTTATTAGTTACATGACTCTGGGTAAGTAATTTATCCTACCCAACCTTCAGTTTATCTCTTCCTCAGAAGGGTCATTATTTTACTCAAGGTTATCTGGCTCATAATATAGGAGGGGAAACATAGATGAGTTTGGTAGAAAATTTAAAATAATAATTTGGTTATAATTTACTTTAGGAGAGAAATATTTTACATTTGGATCAAATCTCAAAGCTGATATTATAATGTTTTATTCCTTTTGCCAGGAGAAAAATCCTTAATTCTCTCTCAGATCCCCTTTGATTTCTTGTTATTAATTAAACCCTGTATATTCATTCTTATGATCCACTCCACGAGTCTTGCGAGCTATTCGCCAATGATATTCAGGAGTAAAGTAAGCACAGAATACATCTTGATAGATGCTTTCTGGGAACACATTCTGGATGGGAATTTGACTACAAGACAAACCTCTTAAAAATAAAAAAAGAGTGTGAGTCAAAGAAAATGTACATACTTTTTGGAGAGCTAATTAATATTTTAGATTCATAGCATATTTCCTGGAATATTTTAGTATTAATTGTCTTAAAACATGCTTAATTTATAATGAATGGTGAAACATTGAAAATTTTTTTCAAGTAGAACATAGTTTAAAGTTTACTTTTATTCTAATAGTAACATTAACAATTAGTAAAGAAGAGAAAATAGAAACTCTGCTGAGTTTCCTCTTTAAGTTTTTTGAATTACTTGAAATAATACTTGAAGATGTCATAATAGACTGATTCCTCTTGGGTTGCAGAGATTGCTGGTAGCATAGGCTATCTCTGAGTTATATCTGCTATTACTTATTTCCTATGTATAACAACGGCACATGGGACAGCTTTCACAAAGATTCTTTACCTTTTTGGTTATCTTTCAGTACCTGATAGCTGGTTCCAACATTTTCTTTCTTTATGGAGTTTATCTTAAAGGTAAAAAGCTCCTAAGATCGGTAACACACACAGTCTGTGTCTGAATATGGTTTAATGAATGAGAAGAGGTAGACTATACTTCTTAAAAGATCTTCTCACATACACTATAACCAGTTTGTAAAGCAAGTGATATTTGTCTAACAACTATATAGTGGTAGTGCTGGCTTGAGGAGGAAGAATATAGTTTATAACTTTCTTAAACTAAACCAATTTTTCATCTCCTGTCTTTTGTTCAGTCACTTGTATGAGCAGAATCCTCTTACTCTTGCATTATATATAGGCAGGTGTCTCTCATGCATATTCTAGGACAAATAAAATGAGAAAGTACACCTAAATGGGGCTAATACTATAAAAATCTTGGAAAAATTATAATGCATATGATACAGTTGGTGTATCAAAATGTACATACACTGTCACTCATACATGTTCTACCTCCATCCAAAGAGAATTTGAGCTATTATCTCTATTTTGATAATTATGAGTCATACTGTGAAGGCTTTAACTCAGTTATAAATGTATAATATAATTATAGTTCGCATTAGAGTACCTTTCTAGATAAGCTAGTGTGTTTACAGATTGATCGGTGGATTGAACCCCAGGGAAAGAGGAATCTTGAATTTATATTTAGTGTGTTAAAATTAGGTTGAAAGTTTGCAAACTTGGTTGATTTAAGCATACTGGCCTTAACTCAATACAGCGTTTCCTAATTATAAAATGAAATTTTTGCACTAAAATTTACAAACTGAAGTATAAGAAACATTTTTTTCTAAAGTACTTTCAAGGAAAGAGAATTCTGAGCACATCAGATTTTTTTTTTTTAGTAACTGAGAAGGCACTGAATATTTCATTTAAAAAAACACTGTCAAACATTAATTCATCTCAGTTCCTCAGAAGTTAAAAATAGAATTACCATATAACCCAGTAGTTCCATTCCTAGGAATATATCCAAATAATTGAAACAAGTATTCAAACAGAATCTTGCACATGAATGTTTATATTTATAGCAGCAGTATTTACAGTATGCAAAAGGTGGAAACAACTCAAATGTCCATCAACAGATGAATGTATAAACAAAATGTGACATATTCCGGGAATGGAATATTATTCAATCATAAAATGGAATGAGGTACTGATACATGCTACAATATGGATGAATCTTGAAAACTGAAAGAAGCCAGACCCCAAAGGTCACATATTCTATGATTCCATTTTTATGAAATATCCAGAATAGGTAAATCCAGAGACAAAAAGCAGCTGAGTGGTTGCCAGGGACTCAGGAGAGGGGGGAATGCGGAGTGACTGTGTAGTAGATACAGGGTCTCCTTTGGTAGTGATGAAAATATTTTGGAACTAAATAGAAGGGATGGTTGTACAACATTGTACATCTACCAAATAAAATGATTAATTTTATGTTAGTGAATTTCATCTCAGTAAAAACAGTTCATCTGAAAAATACCTTTTTCTCATAGATTCTTGATTTGCTTGCTAGAAGTCTTACTATGATTTTAGACATACAGAAAGTTACATTTCATGATGTTGTCTTTAAGTAGTTAGCCTTACTCTGTAATGAGAAGTGTATTGAAATTATTGATTTGATGAGGAGGACAGGTGACAATTTAATTATGATGAAGAGAATAGATCACACTTATAGAAAGGCAAAAGTAGTGTTTTATTACACGTAAACTATTTGAGGCTTACAAAGGCAGCAATAACAAGAACAAAAAAAAACCCCAAAAGGCAAAGATTGAAATGGTCCAGTTTTCCTGATATTCAGTTTCTTGTCCTTACTCCTCAGTCTGTGCACTGGGACAGTTTATCGTGTTGTTCAGAATTAACAAGACTAGTTTTATGGATATTGTGAGACCTTGTCTTATTTCCAGGTTTCTCCCTTTCTCCTGGTAATCTGATACATCGGGGTCCCCAACCCCCCGCCCCCACCCCCGGGGCCGAACAGCAGGAGGTGAGCACAGCAGGAGGTGAGCGGCGGGCAAGTGAGCAAAGCTTCATCTGCCGCTCCCCATCGCTCCCCATGGCTCGCATTACCGCCTGAACCATCCCCCACCCCCACCCCACCTCACCCTATCTGTGGAAAAGTTGTCTTCCACGGAACGGTCCCTGGTGCTAAGAAGGTTGGGGACTGCTACACTACATGGTAGCAGTGACAGTTTTTGACAATAGTGGATGACATAGGGTGTTCTAAGTAGTGCTAACTCCTCCAAATAGGACAAGGTCTGTGAGAGGATGAGGCTGAAAGCACAGACTTCATTGGATGTATGTAGGGTCTGGAATAGGATCGGGTTAATAAGAGAGCTTACAAGAGCAGGATTAGGAACCAGAGAGTGAGTTAAGGCTACGAGGTGTTGGCTAAGAAATTCGTTCTCCTGATCATAGTAGTACACATAATCAGAATATCCAAATAAGATGTCAAATAAATTTCTTAGTGGAATCTAATGATTGCCATGTTATGATATTAAAAAGTCATTGAAATCCTTACTTGGAACTAATTATAGAAAAGGAAAGATCTAGTGCAGGTTTTCATATAGATTTCCATTACTTTTAAAAATATATTGTAAAATATATATAACCTGTAATTTACTATTTTAACCATTTTGAAGCATACAGTTTTAGTGTTAGTACATACATTCACATTGCTGTGCAGCCACCACCACTAACCATATCTAGAACTTTTTCATCAGCCCAGACTGAAACACTGTACACATTAAACAGTAATTCCGGACTTCCCTGGTGGCGCAGTGGTTGAGAATCCACCTGCCAATGCAGGGGACACAGGCTCGAGTTCTCGTCTGGGAAGATCCCACATGCCGCAGAGCAGCTAAGCCCGTGTGCCACAACTACTGAGCCAGCATGCCACAACTACTGAGCCTGCTCTCTAGAGCCCGTGAGCCACAACTACTGAAGCCCGCACGCCCAGAGCCCGTGCTCTGCAACAAGAGAAGCCACCTCCATGAGAAGCCCTTGCACTGCAACCAAGAGTAGCCCCCGCTCGCCACAACTAGAGAAAGCCTGCGCGCAGCAACGAAGACCCACTGCAGCCAAAATTTAATTAATTAAAAAAAAAAGAAAACAGAAAGATCAGTAGTCTGTAATAACCTATATGGGAAAAGAATCTGAAAAACAATGGATACACGTATATGTGTAATTGAATCACTGTGCTGTACACCTAAAACTAACACAACATTGTAAATCAACTATACTTCAATATAAAATAAAAATTATAAAAAAACAAAATAGTAATTCCCCATTCTCCTCTCCCTTCAGGACCTGGTAACCACTATTCTCCTTTGTCTATTTGTCCTCTTGTGTCTAACTTATTTCATTTAGCATAATGTCTTAAAGGTTTCCACTTCTTTTTAAAATAGAGTATTATTATCTTACTGAACTGTCCAGTTAATTGCTGTCATAATCTTGAAATGTGTGAATATTTGACCTCATCTAGTCCTATGACTTCAGCTACTATGTAATGCTGACTACACCGAAATTTGTTTCTCTAGTCAGGATTTTTTTCTGGATCTTTAGATTCATATCGAAATGCTTACTTGGCTTCTCCACATAGATGTCTAATAAGAACCTTAAATTTAATACATATGACTAAACCACAAAGCTGGATTTCCTCCCCCCACCAAATCAGCTTCTACTCCAACTTGCCTCACTTAACCTAAACCACTTAAAGCTAGAAATCCAGGAATTATCCTTGATTATTTTCTCTTTTACCCTTTCTTCCTTCCTCTACCATTGTAGTTTCCTATATATTTACTACATAAATAACTTTTAAAAACTCACTGTTAATGATAGTCATTTGCATACTTGACACTTGATTCCAATTGTCCTTTCACATATTGTATTTCATATATTTTTAACAGTCACTCTATTGGAGATTTAAAATTTTTCTTTGGTTAAATATTTTTAATGTAGGTTATCACTAAAAGCTGTGGTGGGGTGCGGGGAGAGTATGTATGAAAGTAATTTTGCAGCCAAGTCTGCTGGCCTTCTGGTTCTGCCTTTGTGTAGTATATCCTAAATCTGCCTGCTTCTCTTCATCCTAGTCCAGGCCACCATTATTTGTTGCTTCGAGTACTATACAATAGTCTCCTCCTCCTGTTTCCCTTCTGTTGTTTTCCTATCATCTGTTCTCCAGCAGCAACCAGAGTGATGTTTAAAAATTTTTTAAATTTTTGATAATTAATAGATTCAGGGGAAGTTGCAGAGATAGTATGAGAGGTTGCTTGTACCTTCTCTCAGTACCCCCACCCCCCTGCTTTTGGTTACACCTTCTGTGACTATAGAACATTGTCAAACGCAGGAAATTAACATTGGAATAAAGCGTCAATATAATTCTATGTCATTTTATCACATGTGTGGATTCATGTAACCACCAGTGCAGTCAGGATAAAGAGCTACTCAGTTGCCACAAAGAGACTGCTCGCATGCTACCCCTTTATAAGTCGTCCCTGCCTCCTTACCTCCCACTATCCCTGACCCCTCAGAGTGATATTTTTAAAACATGAATCAGATCATATTACCTCCTACTTCAGAGCTACCATAACTGCTTCCAATCTCAGAGTGAAATTTAGACTTCTGTGGTGACATATAAATCTGCTTCTCTCTCTGATCTTACTTAATAACACTGTTCCCCCCACAATTATTACTATAGCTACACTTGCTTTCTTTCTGTTTCTCTGATGCAGTGGTTCTCAAAGTGTGACCCCTGGACGAGTAACATCAGCATCACCTGGGAATTTGTTAGAGATGCAAATTTTTGGATTCAATGCCTGACTTACTGAATCAGGAGGTCTGGGGGTGGGACCCAGAAATCTTGTGTTTTAACAAGTCTTTGAAGGTGATGCTGAAACATGCTAAAGTTTGAGGACCATTGCTCTAATAAGTCAAACTCTTTGCCACATGCTGACTTCTGCAGTAGCTTTTCCCTTTGTCTGGAATATCTTCTAACCCACCACTCACCCATCTTCCTATGACTGGCTCTTTCTTGCATTTATACTTATTTTGAAAATACCTCTACAGAGAGAACTTTTTTCAATATTCCAGTGTAAAATAACCACTCATTTATTTTCTACTATATCTCTCTATTTTAATCTTTTGCATATTACCTGTCATTATCTGATATTTTTCTTATTTATTAGTTTCTTATCTTTTTTCCCCTTAAGTAGTTTTTATAGTTTCAAAGAGTAGTACCTTGTTTGTTTTGTTTACTTCTTCATGCCCAGGGCCTGGAAGAGTGCTTGTCAAATGGTAAGCACACAATAAATATCCCCTGAATAATTGAATGTATTTATGATCTCTGTTTTTTGTTTTGTTTTTTTGCAATATTCCCCAGTATTATAAAGCTATGTTTCCCAGGATAACTTCAGAGAGCAACTAAAACGAATGTCTCTAGGCAGAATATTTATATATTATGATTGCAGATATGAAATATTATAACCTAGAAAGAGAAGATGTTTCTTATAGTTCTAGCCTGTATCCCCGAGTGTTTGTAAATAATTTATATGTTCATGACAGATACCCTCTTCCCATTCATTGTTAAATCATTGTTTGTTTCGCTAGGCTTAGGTTAAGATCCCCAAATCTTTGATCAGCTAGCTATTGCCAAGGAATGTACAGGCATGGGACATGGACTGATGTTCTGCTTTACTAGTTATGCATTTCCCCTACCTCCAGTCTGGTGTTCTACCCAGAGTAGATGAGCTAGGCCTTGTGTGATCCTTGAGGGCTCTTTTGCCCCATCCTCCTCCTCTCTGCTCCTTTTAGGCAGCCATTATTAGTCGAGGCGCAAGCCCAGTGGCCTTCTTGGCTCATTTTTCATAAGCCCATGCCATGGTCTTTCTTGTTCTGTGGATCTGAACCACCCGGTCCTGCCAGTTGTTCTCTGTGTCTGATAAATCTTTACATGTAGAGGAATCTCCTCATCAGGAAATAATCCTTACTCCTGATTATCAGCTACAAAAGAAGAGCCAGCTGCATGTTAGAGGAAAAGATACTCAGAGAAGCCCACTTCCTTTTAAAATTCCTGACTACTACCAGTAAAAACGTAATTCTAATACAGAAGACTGTGAGTCACAGAAGACTTCATGTCCTTAACAGTTACCAAAGCTCTTTGGAGGTGGAAAGGCGTCATGAGATTCCCTATAAACATTATAAAACAGGATCTCCCCCATTTAGAATTAAATAATCTTTAAGTATTTTTGTAATGTTTCTGCATGGTTATAGGCCTATGATTTTTTTAAAAAAACTCTTTATAGTAAAAAATTCCAATTTGGGGTAATAAATTTCAGAACTTCTATATTGATCTGTACTTAAGTACTTCTGTTTTATTTACTAACTTGACATATTTTTTGAATGTCTAGCAAGTAGGGATATAAGTTACTTCAGGCCAGGATCATGTCTTTTATATTCTACAGCATGCCTAATCATAAAGCCTATATGAGGCAGTCAGTAAACATAGAATTATGGAAACAGTCTTGAGATGTATTAAACAAATCAAAAATCTTTGGGCTATATTAGTAATTTTGTGATTGCTAACCAATTTTGACTATATTAAAAATCGGTAATTAAGTTACTAGATCAATTCCAAATAATGAAGAATTTTCTGTATTTTTTCATAGAAATTATTTTAATTCTAGTACTTTATATACATAGCCAAAGAAATGAGGTTAAATGTAACGATCTCTGTCATAATCTTTGTTTTGTTTTCTCTCTTGCTTTCTCAATCCTTCTCATGTGATCCTGGATGGAATGATTTTTGGATTCTCTGAACCACAGAGCCTATCGTGAAGAATGGCAGACCTCCAACCTCTCACAGTATGCATTCCTTCCTCCACCAGTACACAGGGTCCTTCAAGAAGCCTCCATTGCGGAGACCACATAGCGTTATTGGAGGAAGCCTTGGCTCCTTCATGGCAATGCCCAGAAATGGAAGCAGATTAGGTAATTTGTTTTTTTAAAAAATTTTCTGACTGTAGCTTATGTCCATAGCTAGGTTTTAGTTGTATGCAAGTCAGCCAGCCTTTATTATCTAGTTTTTTTTGTAAGGTAAAAATCAAGTTGAGAATAAGAGGGAGAGCAGAAAGATGGAAAGGTCTAGAGAGGCAGTAGTGCTGACACTACAGAGGAATAATATTTGAAAATCTGTCCACCAGGAAGAAAACAAAACCCTTAAGAGGTGGATGCAGGATTTCAAGATGAATAGCAGTTTGAGATGGTGCTTAATTTAGGGTCATACTTAGTAACTCCAGATTATCACCATTTGATAGCTTAGTGTAATAATTAGTACATATGATGATTACCTGAGTTGTTATTCTTACATCACTGTGTCATTTTAAATATCTAGGAAAAATATATATCTGCAAGTTTCTGTTTATTTCTCTGGTCTTTTTTGATGGTTTCTTATTTATTTATCATGTTTTGTTTTTAAATAATTTTAAGTATAATTATTTTATAGTCTTATGACATAATTATATTTACTGAAGTTCCTGAGGGTTTTATTCTGCTTCTTGCTTTATCTGCTTACTCTAGCCATAGTAGATTATTTTCTCATGTGTTTTGTTAATTTTAGGAGGATGAGCTTATTATCTACAGGGGGGTTTTGTCTGTGGCTTACACTGGTTCATGAGAGATGATGGTTAAAATTTTCAGAAATTTTGCAAGCTGATTGTTAAACATAGCTATTATTAAAATTTAAATTATATACACATACAATTAAGTAAACTAAATTAAAAACAAAGGTAATGAATACTCAAAAGTCATTATTTCCTAATTATTTTACTACACTTTACTGTTGTCTATGCTTTGGGGGTTATTTATTTCTATTACATCTGAATAGTCAAAATACTGTGTCATGGTGTGCCCATTTCCCAACTGCATGTTCAGTGATGCCATGTGGGTAGCTTGAGGTTGGCCATGAACAGAGTATTTACCCCACAGAAGTTGGAAAACACTTCAAATCAGGGCTTAATTTATTGTTCTCTTGATTGTCTAGACTAGGGGTTGGCAAATTTTTTCTGTAAAGGGCCAGGCAGTAAAAATTTTTGAGGTTTTGTGGGCCATATATGGTCTGTTGCATAATCTTCTTTTTAAAATAATTCTTTAAAGATGCCAAAACCATTTTTAGCTCAGGGCGATACAAAAACAGGTCACATATGCTGATCCTTGGTCTAAACTTAAGAAAGTGACGTTGAAAACGTTAGTAATGCAGATTAAATTTAAAAATGTGTTGTCTGTCTGTAGCTGTTGCATTGTGAATTACACAAAAATTGAGCCATTTGAGAAGTAAATATTCTTCAGTTACTTAGAAACTATTACCTGATTCAGGAAAGAAGTTGCTCATACCAGTGACAAATGAGTGAAGTCTTGACGTAAGCCTCCATCATTTCACTTTTGTCTTGTTGACAGAAATGAAAATACCAACTGGTATCCGTGTCGGAACTATACTTGGCTCGGTAATGACATGAGCTGTTTCTTGGTTGAGTCAGATGCTACTCAAGATTTTTGATCTGTGCTAGTCTGAGATTAATATGCTCCTTTGTAGTCCTCATGCAGAAGAGCAGATTTCTTTTTTAAGTCTGCCTTTTACTGAAGATGTAGCTCTTTGAGAGTCTCGTGCCTTTCTAAAGGAGCTCTCATTTGCAGGTGGGACACCCGAGGCTTCATCTTTTATCTCAGGTGGCTGCTAAATCCAAGCACATTCTTACCAAAATAAAAAGCCCATCCCAAGAAAGGGACAGAATCAATTTTTGCATAACAACTTTGGACTTTCAGTTCTCTGTCTTTGCTTCGTAGGTATTAAACATATATTCATGCAAACTTAGCTATACATTATAAACTATATTTTTATTCAACATTTCCTTGAGGAAGGAAGATTTTTAAATTTTGCTGGAAGTGGAAGGCATGGTTAAATTATCTTTAACATTTTAAAAGTGTGGCAGTAAAGAATGCTTGGCCTCGGATGTATTAAATACCATTGGATTAGGAATTAGTCACCCAATAAATACATTGACTTTCACTGCCATGTTAATAAATATTTTTTGTTCAGATGGGATAAAATTTCTCCAGAAATCTCTGTGTCATTGAAGTATATTCTTTTTTTTTTTTTTTTTTTTTTTTTTGCGGTTGGCGGGCCTCTCACTGTTGTGGCCTCTCCCGTTGCGGAGCACAGGCTCCGGACGCGCAGGCTCAGCAGCCATGGCTCACGGGCTCAGCCGCTCCACGGCATGCGGGATCTTCCCGGACCGGAGCACGAACCCATGTCCCCTGCATCGGCAGGTGGACTCTCAACCACTGTGCCACCAGGGAAGCCCGATTGAAGTATATTCTTAAATTACATATTGGTTTATTAAAAACCATTATTACTATTTACATATGCTTATCAGTGTGAAAAAGAATTTTCTTAATAATGTGTTATCAAGACAAAATACAGAAATGTATGAATTCTAAGACTGATTTGATGAGACCCTGGAGTTCAATTTTTTTGTTAATTTAAACAGTTCTTATATTTGTATAAGTAAATGTTAACTAAAAGCTCAAATTTATAATTATGAAATACTATTTTTATTTATTTTACATGTTGATATTTCATATAACATTTCATTTGAAAGAAAAGGTCCAGTTGTTTAGTCCATTCTTTGATTTTTTTTTAGTTAATATTTAATTCAGTAGAACATTTGTTGAGCCACCTACTAAGTATCATGAACTTTGTTCGGTTCTAGGAATAGAAAAGTGAATAAGCCAAATTCTTGCCCCAAGGATCTTATAACTTGGTATAAAACAACGTGAACCAAAAAATGCTCTTCAGTGCAGTAGGTATGCTAGGTGTGGGTACAGTAGTCATCTGTGTCTGAGAGTAGAAAAGACTTCATGAGTGCTGATGACATATGTGCATAGTTTTGAAGAATGGGTTCACCAAATTGATAAAATGAAGAAAGGCATCTCTTACAGATAAGGAAAAAAAAAAAAGCTTGTTAAAGCACTGCAGTGTGAAACAACATGATACTTTTGGGGGAGTGAATAATTCTGTGGAGAGGACTGGTGGCAAGAGATATGTTTGAGATCTAGCATTTGTTTCTGGTGGGCTGTTCTAGATGAATTAGAGGATGATTGACCAATGCAAATTTATGAGCAGATACAGAAGTATACAAGTTTGTTTTTAATATTCCCAAATGGAATTAATCTCTCTCCCCTCTACTACCATTTATCTTTTTTTTTTTTTTTTTTTTTTTTTTTTGCCGTATGCGGCCTCTCACTGTTGTGGCCTCTCCCGCTCCGGACGCGCAGGCGCAGCAGCCATGTTTCACGGGCCCAGCCGCTGTGCGGCACACGAGATCTTCCCGCACCAGGGCACGAACCCATGTCCCCTGCATCGGCAGGCGGACTGTCAACCACTGCGCCACTAGGGAAGCCCCCCATTTATCTTTTATCCCTATTTAAAAAATATCATAATCCGGGCTTCCCTGGTGGCGCAGTAGTTGGGAGTCCGCCTGCCGGTGCAGGGGACGCGGGTTTGTGCCCCGGTCTGGGAGGATCCCGCGTGCCGCGGGGCGGCGTCCGGAGCCTGTGCTCTGCGGCGGGAGGGGCCGCAGCGGTGAGAGGCCCGCGTACCCAAAACAAAACAAAACAAAAGAAATATCATAATCCACCTTGTCATGTAAGTGTAATATGTTTTGGCCCCTAGTAGATTTTGTGGTACTTGCTTTGTAGTTATGATACAAAGTAGATACTCAGTGAATACTTTTTGAATTGTTTTTTAACACAGGGGGGTGGGAAGCTGCATTAGCAGCTGTAAAACAGTTTTTAAAAAGAATATTCAAAGAACCATTTCATTTGGCTATAGACCCAATACCCATTATTTCATGGAAAGAATACTAAACTAGATAAAAGACCAGGTTTCTATTTTAGGTCTGCCTTTAAGCTCTGTGACCTTTGAAAGTCATTTAACCTTTCAAGGTGTCAGTTTCCAGATCTGGAAAATAAGAGAATTGACTAAAATAATCCTCAAGTGTTATTTTCGGTCTCTAATTTTAATATTCAACTCTTGGTAATAACTTGAATGTTAGTTTTTTAAAATAGCTTTTCATAATCTGAGAGCATAAAAGGATTTATACTACTGTTTTAGGACATTTGTTCTAAGTGTGCAGTTTTTATTAACTGCACACCTATGGTACCCAGAATGTAAAAGACTTCTTATGCTATGATTTTTATGTGTTGGCTGTCTACATCTTACCTGTGGTGATAATACATTGATATAGTAGAATTTAATACATCTTTTCTAAGATAAATAATGTTTCATTTTCTGATACAGATATTGTTCATGAAAATCTAAAAATGGGATCAGATGGTGAGAGTGACCAAGCTTCTGGGACATCATCTGATGAAGTCCAGTCACCTACGGGTGTTTGTCTTAGAAATCGTATACATAGACGGATCTCAATGGAGGTACCATTTAAAAAATACAAATATGCCTGTGTTTGTGTGTATAAATATATATGTATAAATATGCATATATATGTGTGTGTGTATATATATATACACATATATATATATGTGTGTGTGTGTCAAACAGAATAAATGCCTATTTGAAAATGTTGATTAGGGCAGTGACCACCTGTAAGAAAGTTGTTTCTTTGCATTAGCAAAAACTAGTCTGTGAATATTATTTTTTTCTAATTACTATACCAAGGCAAGTATACATTAATTATACTTAAACATTCTGCAAAATACTATGTAGGGTCTCTGTAAGGGATGTGGATTTTCAAAAGTTTCAGAAATCCAGGATGATACATTAGGAAAGTCTTCTTTGTAGAAACAAACAAACAAAAATATATATATATTTTTTGGTACGCGGGCCTCTCACTGTTGTGGCCTCTCCCGTTGTGGAGCACAGGCTCCGGATGCTCAGGCTCAGCGGCCATGGCTCACGGGCCCAGCTGCTCTGCGGCATGTGGGATCTTCCCAGACTGGGGCACGAACCCGTGTCCCCTGCATCAGCAAGCGGACTCTCAACCACTGCGTCACCAGGGAAGCCCTGTAGAAAATATTTTAATTATATTTTTGAGATTCATCTAGATACTACAAATTTTATAAATATTTTATTTCAGATTTCAAAAAGTATGCATAAAATAAGCACCAGCTTTTTTTTCTTTATAAATATGGATATCACTTCCTTTATGGTTTTTATACCTACTGATCTCTAGCACATATAAGTTATTTCTCCATGTAAAAGGATGAAGAGCTCATTTCCTTTTCTTTGTCAATGTTATGTATAACCTTGAGGACAGAAGTTGATTATGAATATTATTTCCATATATATTGTAGATTAAAATAATTTTCTCCAAAAAATTGAACATGTTTTAAAATAAGAATATTGTTATTTTTTGAGTGCTATTGAGTTAATGATGATTAGGGTATTTATCCTATTGGTTGATTGTATTTTCACTGATCAAAGATTGCTTCTGAATCAGTTACAGAAAACAATATCAGTTTCTAAATGGTAAAAATAGCATTTTCAACTACTGAAATCAACTTGATATCTGTTCATATCACTGTATAAATTATATCACAGTAGTAATAAAAGGGCTTCGCTGGTGGCGCAGTGTTTCAGAATCTGCCTGCCAGTGCAGGGGACACGGATTCGAGCCCTGGTCAGGGAGGATCCACATGCCGCGGAGCAACTAAGCCTGTGTGCCACAACTACTGAGCCTGCGCTCTAGAGCCCATGCTCTAGAGCCTGTGAGCCACAACTGCCAAGCCCGCGTGCCACAACTACTGAAGCCTGTGCACCTAGAACCTGTGCTCCACAATAAGAGAAGCCATGGCAATGAGAAGCCCACGCACCGCAATGAAGAGTAGCCCCCACTCACCGCAACTAGAGAAAGACTGTGCGCAGCAACAGACCCAACGCAGCCAAAAATAAATAAATAAATTTATTTTAAAAAATAGTAATAATTATTTTTCTTCACCATATATGTGATTTTCTTTATCATATGTTTAAAAATTTTATTTAATATTAGGATCTATATCTGGATTTTCTCATTCTTCCATTGAGCTGTATATTTTTTTTTCCCCAAAGAGAGACACTCTTGGTTTTGTTTTTTTAATTGTATAATTTAGTATCTGGAAAGACTTCCTTCTTAACACCCACGCACCCCCACATATATACTTATTTGAGAATGTTTCTGGATGTTTTCTATTTATTCTTCTAGATAAATTATAAACATTTTGTTTCATTCCAAGAATAATGCCTGTGATTTGTTTAGGGTTATGTAAAATATAAAACTAATATGGGAGGATTATCATCATTTTATTTCTCTTATCATTTGAGAACATGATACAAATCTATACTTAAGCCATATCTCTCTCAATAAATATGTATACAATTCCTATACATCTCAACTTTGTTTCGTGGTTTGGTTACTATTTTGAACAGTAGGGATTTATTTTTAAAGGATTTATGTTTCTTGGAGTGATAATATAGGCAAGATCTCTTTTTATGTTTCTCGCAGTTCACATAATACAGTGAAATAGAAATGCCTTTTACTTCTTCCCATTGGTATAGCAATAATAAAATATTTCAACTGTCTCACTGTGTTGCATGCAAAATCATACAATATCCACTTGGTTATTTAAACCAATCGCATTTTGTGGTAGACTTTGCCTATTCTTACTATGGTATAATAATGTCAAAATTATTTCCATGTTGAATTTATCAGTGAAGGGACTCAAATAACTGGGTTGTAGAATACCATTTATGTTAAACTATATTGTATACTTTTGCTTACAGTAAATAAATACATTGGCATTCAGTATATTATATATAATTAATGTAGGTAACTTTACAATTGCAATAAAACTTTATAGTTATTGATCACTAAGAAATAATATGTTAGAGCCCATGAATCCAAAAGTAAAATGCCCTTGTCTTTTCTGTTTGTGGTTACCTACAAATATCTTTTTTTCCTGCTTTTTTAAAGGATTTAAATAAGCGGTTATCGCTGCCTGCAGATATCAGAATACCTGATGGATATCTTGAAAAGTTGCAGATAAACAGTCCACCATTTGATCAACCAATGAGCCGAAGGTCTCGGAGAGCTTCTTTAGTAAGTTTTTAAGTCTACTATACCTGCACCATCAGATCTGGTTGTTTGATTTTCTGGGTATAAACATTTTATATTAATTTTTATATTTAATTGTTGAATAGCTAAAGTTTATTATGTTGCTTTCTGGATTTTGTCATTTTCCCTTCCTAAGGGTTTAAAGATATTATATTGGAATAGAATTTAAGGTATATTTTATTTTTTGGTAAATTTTACTGATACATGCTAGATGTACAGAATATGTACTAGATACACAGAAAAGTACATAAGCCATAATTGTATAGCTCCATGAATTTTTGTAAAGTTAACATACCTGTGTAACAAGTACCCAGATAAATGAAATTCCAAAAATCCCAGAAAACCTGTCCTGCCACTTCTTTGTTCACTTTCTATCCTCACTTCCTTAACTTTAGCCATTATCCCTGCCTTCTAAGGCCAAAGATTAGTTTTACGTATGTTTCCCACTTTTTTTTTTCCTAGAAAGTGGCAATGTTTCTAAATTTCCACACACATCCACACCTACAGGGTTTTTTTGTTTTATTTATTTATCTATCTATCTATCTATCTATTTATTTATTTTTGGCTGTGTTGGGTCTTTGTTTCTGTGCGAGGACTTTCTCCAGTTGCGGCAAGTGGGGGCCACTATTCATCACGGTGTGCGGGCCTCTCACTATCGCGGCCACTCTTGTTGCGGAGCACAGGCTCCAGACGCGCAGGCTTAGTAGTTGTGGCTCACGGGCCTAGTTGCTCCGCGGCATGTGGGATCCTTCCAGGCCAGGGCTCGAACCCGTGTCCCCTGCATTGGCAGGCAGATTCTCAACCACTGCACCACCAGGGAAGCCCTTTCCCACTGTTTTGATTATATTATGTTTATAGTGTTTTAATATCAGGAAAGACTTCTTTATTCTCATTTACATACACATTCTTATTTATTTAAAAAATGCATTTGATATTCTTTTTCTGATTATTCTTAAACTTTTGAACTTTATGTAATTATGAATATACAAATTATTAAAATACATTTTATTGAAATATATAAAAATGTGTATTTATACAAGTTTATATATATAGTATACAATAAATATCCTACCTGTTATGTATGTATTATGTATGTACACAATGTGTATCCTTTTGTGATTGACTTGTTCAGTGTTGTGCTTGTTTTTCATTTAGGTTATTGCATGTGGTTATGTAATTCATTTGTTCTTTTTGTTGCATGGTATTCCATTGTGTGAGTATGCTATATTTTATCCAGTCTTCTGCTGATGGACGTTTACATTTGAGTTTTTAGTTTTGGCTATGATCAAATATTGCTTCTATCACTATTCCTGTTCATGTGTTTCGGTTAACATATGTGAGCATTTCTGTTGGTTGCATATCTAGGAGTGGAATTGTTGGATCAGATTGTATGCATATATTCAGCTCTTCTAGGTATTGTCAAAATAGTTTCTGAAGTGATTATACCATTTTACACTGCCATCACCAGTATATGAGAGTTCTAGTTGCTCTCCATGCAGTTTTTTTTTAAATAAATTTATTTATTTATTCATTTTTGGCTACGTTGGGTCTTTGTTGCTGTGCACAGGCTTTCTCTAGTTGTGGCGAGTGGGGGCTACTCTTTGTTGCAGTGCACGGGCTTCTCGTTGCGGAGCACAGGCTCTAGGCACGCGGGCTTCAGTAGTTGTGGCACGTGGGCTCAGTAGTTGTGTCTCGAGGGCTCTAGAGCACAGGCTCGGTGCACAGGCTTAGGCATGTGAGATCTTCCTGGACCAGGGATTGAACCCGTGTCCCCTGCATTGGCAGGTGGATTCTTAACCACTGCATCACCAGGGAAGCCCCTCTCCATTAGATTTTCTGATATTGTTTCTTCTTTTTAAAAAATTTTTTTTTTAACTTTTCTGGTGAGTGTATAGTGCTGTCTCATTGTGGTTTTTTTTTTTCATTTTCCTGATGCCTTAAGTTGAACACCTTTCTAATATTTATTGGCCATTTAGATATCCTCTTCTTTGAATTAAGTGTTCAAGTCTGTTATCTCTTTACTCTTGGACTTTCTGCCTTTTTCTTATTGGTTTGTTAGGAATTCTTTGTACATTTTGTATAAAGGACCTTTGTCAGTTATATGTCTTGCAGATGTCTTCTCCCAATCTGTAGCAGTTGACCCAGCACTGCTAATTTTTAAAAATTTTTTTATATATATATATATATTTTATAAATTTGTTTATTTATTTTTGGCTGCGTTGGGTGTCCGTTGCTGTGTGCGGGCTTTTCACTAGTTGCGGTGAGTGGGGGCCACTCTTCGTTGTGGTGCGCAACCTTCTCATTGCAGTGGCCTCTCATGTTGTGGAGCACGGGCTCTAGGCACGTGGGCCTCAGTAGTTGTGGCTTGCGGGCTCTAGAGTACAGGCTCAGTAGTTGTGGCTTGCGGGCTCTAGAGTACAGGCTCAGTAGTTTTGGTGCACGGGCTTCGTTGCTCCACGGCATGTGGGATCTTCCCAGACCAGGGCTCAAACCCGTGTGTCCTGCATTGGCAGGCAGATTCTCAACCACTGCGGCACCAGGGAAGCCCAGCACTGCTTATTGAAAGGACAGCTTTCCCCATTGCAGTGTCACCTTTGACATAAATTGAGATGATTGTGTATGTGAGGATCTGTTTTGGATGACTTTAGTTCTATGGTAGAAGTATATATAAAGTGCTATGAGACAATTACAGAGACAGCAAGTAAAATGTCTTTGAACATCACAGGCTTATAGTGCTTAAGCTGGCTCTAGAAGGATCGGTAGTTATTTGACATTCACCATTATACAACAAGGTTAAAGTGTAATACCAACTTGACTTTGGTATAGGTTATGATCATCATAATTTTGCATCACTGCTTAAGACATTTTTATTCAAGTAACTTTGTCATTTAATTACCAGCTTGCAAGTATTCTTTGGTTATCAATTTTTATTAAAGATCGATACTTAAGTTTTGGAGTTAGTAAATATTTCAGATTGGGACTAAAGGTATGGTTTAATCACCGAAGCTATCATCAAAGACCTGTCTTTTTCAGTGTACATGAAATTAAGGAAAACAGTGCCCTCTAATGAATGTTAAGTGACTGGAGTTTTTATTGTGTTGAGTGTTCCTACCTACCTCCCTTGCTTTTTGATCTGAAATGGCTTATAGATTTCAGATTAATCATGCCAGCTCTGTTCTGGGTTTCTACTGATTCATCCTTTTCATTATCTATCTACCTTACTAAAGCCATGGTTTCTTTGAAGTATATTAGAAAATTATTCTTCAATACCCTAGGTTTATATGTGAAGGGGAAGGATTAGGGAATGCATGGAAAGGAGATGGGAAAAGAAAAATATTCTTCACATTTGTTAGAGCTCATGTTTCCATGGATGATATACTCTTTATCTAAAAAAAATATGTTTTACAAGAGAAAATATAAAATTTTGTCTTTCTAAAAGGATAAAACTTTGTTTTTTTGTTTTCAATAGCAGTATATTATAAGTAGGGTAGTAAAAATAAAATAAATCCTTTGTTTGAGTAGGAAATAAGAAACCAGTCAGAGAGTTCATTTCTGGTAGAGAAAGACATAAAATAGGGCTGATTGGTTCTTCTATGAATTTATGATCATCAGCCTCAGTTGGATTCTCAGTATCACTTGGCTGCCCTATTGTATTTCTCTGGTTAATTCTTCCCCTCTCTAAGCAGATGACCTCTCCCACTACATGACAAAGAAGAGAGAAGCCACTAACCAGAAACCCTCTCATTTTCTGAATTACACTAATTCTTCTCTTTCCTTTCTTCAATATTGAGGAATTGTCCTTCTTCCTATCCCATCTCCTCAGGATGCTTAGAGTATTTGTTATTCCTATACACTCAGGTATAGTTAGTCTCCCTCTCTTGCTGAATCCTTTCTATTGACTTTTTATTTAAATAAGTTTTTTTATTTTAGAGTAGTTATAGATTTACAGAAAAATTTAAAAGATCATATAGAGAGTTCCCATATACCACATACTCAGTTACCCCTGTTATTAACATTTTACATTAGTTTAGTACATTTTTCACAACTAAGGAAACCAATATTGATACATTACTATTAACTAAACTCTGTACTTCGTTCAAATTTCCCTAGTTTTCCACTAATATCTTTTTTTTCCCAGGATCCCATCCAGAACACATTACATTTAGTCATTCTATCTCATATTAAAGATATTGGTTATTAGACTGGTGAAGTGTTATTTAATATTCATTTATAGTTGATAAGAAATGGAATAGTCTGACTCTTAACATACTGAGTTAAACATTAGACTAGTGGGAAAGCCCATAGGCAGATAGTGATTTGTTAGAGCATTGTTGCACTTACAGTGATGGCATGCCCCGTGGAAGTTTTCTGAGAGTGTTAAGTGCAGCTTTAGTAGACTAAGTCTGTGCATGAAAGTTTGTCTCATTTTATTGAAGTTTAAGTTATACACATTTTAAGAATCTGCCTCTTCCTAAACAATGAGTTTTGGATTCCTCATTCATGACTTTACCAATATATATCATATGTAGTCCTTGTTTCTAAGAATAGGTGAGAAAATAGGTATCAAGTCCTGATGTCTCTCAGAAATAATAAATATATTATGTGGTGTGGAAGTGAGGTTCAAAGTCCACCCACAACTTAATTTACCTTTGGCATATTATGGTCAGGGTTAAGGTGGTAGTATGATGATGATGACAGCACATTTTTGCAAGACAAATGATCAAGCAGAATAGAGATTCTCAGTCTCTTTTCTGCCCCCCACATATCTAAGAACACATTTCTGTCAGTAACAGTAACTCGGTAAATCTCACAAGGAGGGAAATGGGTGTTTGAAAAATCTCCCTTTGCCCCCAGTTCTTATATACACATTCACTTTTAGAATGACATCTATAGAACTTTTGCATGTATTTCAGTTGTTTTGAAACTCAATTAGAACTGCATTGCCAGCATGTTAATACATCTTTATAACTTTGATAGAGTGATTA